AATTTTATTATATATTAATATGAAATGAAACCATCATTAAATTTACCACACTTAAATAATAAATAGCTTGTTTGATTAAATATTTGGGAAGTACAGAAAAATACGAATGTTCTACTTTTTTGTACGTTTTCCACGCAGTATTTTTTACTTCATGGCAATAGTTATTAATTAACGTCTAGTATAGATTATGATTATTGTTAATAGATGAATTTGACGTATCAATTTTAATAGAACACTAATATATAAGAAAAATAGTGTGTAAGCATAGAAAAATTGTACTCTAAACTTAACATTAAAAATAGTAATAAAAACAAGTCAAAAAATACGATAAAAAATATAATGTGATAATAGACTAACCTAATAAAGAGCAAAGTTTTGAATTGCATAAAAATCTATTGTTTCGAAATTTAGCCTAAATGTAGAAATTCGATCCAAATAAAATATGAAAATTCAAATTAATTTTAGTTCAAACTTCATTTTTACCCTATTTGTTTGAGCCAAAAATAAATACTATAAGATGGTGCAATTCAGTGGACACTGGGCAACCCATTTTCACCATTATAATCGCAAAACCTCTCTCTTCTTCATCACCAATCTGCAATACCCAGAAACCAAAAAGCTAAAAAAAACTATCTTTTTTGTTCTTGATTTGCCGGTATTTATATGTGAAAACACACATAAAGCTTGCCAGTGTACAGAAAAGAGAGAAAAATCGAAACTTTATGGGTTATCTATCATGTAAAGCTGAATCTTCTATATCAATTTCCAATTCTCAGAGTTGTACGGCCACTCCGAAGAAAACCCATGATCAAGAAAAGGAGAAACCCATCAAAATCCAGGAGTTTAACTACAGAGATCTTGAAGCAGCCACTAATGGTTTCTCTGACCAAAAGCTTCTTGGTAGGGGTAGCCATGGACTTGTCTATAAAGGGATGCTTCGTAATGGGCGTCTTGTGGCTGTCAAGAGGTCTTCAAGAATTGCCCCAAGAATTAGAAACACCTCGACATCTGGGCAGGAGAATTGTAATGAGGTAGAGAATGAAATTGATATTCTTTCGAAATTGCAGAGCCCAAGGTTGGTTAATCTTGTTGGTTTTTCTATTGATTCTCATGACACCCTTTTGGTTGTTGAGTTTATGTCTAATGGTACCCTTTATGATGTACTGCATTCCAATTCTCGTCCACTAAGTTGGGGGAGAAGGATGAAATTGGCTTTACAAACTGCTAAGGCTGTTGATATTCTCCATTCTTTGAGTCCTCCTGTAATTCATCGTGATATTAAGTCTGCTAATGTGTTGATAGACAGGAATTTCAATGCCCGTTTGGGTGATTTTGGTTTGGCATTAAGGTGTCATCTTGATGATTTTAGGTTGAGGTCTACTCCTCCTGCTGGTACGATGGGTTATCTTGATCCATGTTATGTGACCCCTGATAATTTGAGCACCAAGACTGATGTCTTTAGTTTTGGGATTTTGTTGTTGGAGATTATTAGTGGGAGGAAAGCTATCGATGTGGCGTATTCGCCCCCCTCTATAGTGGATTGGGCTATTCCATTGATAAAGAGAGGGAAGCTCTTGGCTGTATACGATCCAAGGATTCCACCTCCCAAGGATCCTAGTTTAAGAAAGCAATTGGCAGTTGTGGCTGCAAAATGCGTGAGGCCGTGTAGGGAGAGGAGGCCAACAATGAAGGAGGTGGCTGAATGTTTGAGTGGGTTGAGTAAGTTGGTACCTCTACATTCTTGGAATGGTTTTACCAATCCTTGTTTGATGGTTGAGACCGTGGGCCGACCTGTGGAGTCGAGAACCAGCCAGTTGAACTTGAGGGGAAAAGGTAGTAAACAAAGAGATTGGGATGGTGGAGATGCTAGCCTTGCAATGCCACTAAGGAATTCGCCGAGAGTTTACTCTGACTTGGGGTTGCGGAGTAATTTGATGGATTTAATGGCTGGAAAAGAGGGGCAATCTGAATTTCGTGGAGAGGGTGATGGTGTTGAACCCAAGTCAAAATCTATCAGTAGAGCTTTGAGCTGCAGATATGTAAGCGGATCAGTTGTTGGTAGAAGAAACAATGAGTCTTTAGTTCACAGCAATGGTAGAGGAGGTACATCCCGTTTTAGAAGAAACAATCCAGTTGGTGAGCATTCAGATAGGGATTGAAGAGCTGATAGAATTATTAATTCAATCGCTCCAACTCTGGTGCCAATCTTTGTAGAGCATTGTAATTTTTGGAAAGTCATTTGGAAATGTCTTTCGGATTTGATGAGCAAGAAAAAGCTTATTCTTGCTTTCAGATCATATGGAATTAAGGTATTGTAGGGGTTTTGAATTCTTTAGGCTCTTATTGTAGAGCATTAGTAAATTCGATCGATTGGTCATGTTTGTTGCTCAAAAGCACACCTGTTGTACTTTTCATGGATTCTTCTGTATTTGATCAATTGTTGATATATATGAATAGTGACAAATGATTAACTTTCACTTATGCCAAAATTCATTGATGGCAATGCTTATTTTTACTTGTCTGCATAAAAAGGATATGGATCACAAATCCTCATTGGACTTCATGAGAAGGCAGATAAACCTATAATGCTGTTTCATAACACATTTATTTTCTTAACTGCAAGCCGAATGAACCAGCATCCTGGAAGAGGTAACTGGCCCTCACAAGGTACATAAGATTTTCATTTGTTCATCAGACGTGCAATTTGATTTGTCATCTTTCTTCTGTAATTGTGTTACTCTATTAATATTCTCTCGTGTTTAGATTTTTCAGTGTAAAGTTGTTCAAAATATTCCTTTTCTGAGCACCTTAGACACCTTATTGCAGATATATATGTGGTCCTGGAAACATAAATATTCCTTATTGTTGATGCAAGTATCAATATGCCCAAATCACTAGGACAAAGTTGCAGTATAAAATATGTTAAGCATGGTACTATCCGCCTTTTCCTTGTTGGCATCTGTTCAAATGTAATTTGAATCAAACTAATTTACATACTATCATTTGGAATGCTCAGTAATTTCCATCCTCGAAATTGTGATGTAATCTTATTTATTATCTAAATGAATACCATGTTCATTCTACAACAAATTGAACATTTTGTGGAGAATTTGATCCTCTCGAGTATATCTATATCTTGTACAATTGCAAACTCAAAGTAGTTGGAAAGTTAGCTAAGATCTTGCAATGTCTAAACAAGTGAAAGCTTGTTGTATTTGTAGTTGCTGGAGTTCATTCTGATAACAATCGACCAGTGTTACTCTTCTGCTTTTGTTATTAGGGAATTGATCAAGTATTACTTAACGTTCTCTTAGTTCAAGATATTCCTTAGCAACTGTTGGATTCTCTTTTCTTATCCTATTGAGGTTGAGGAGTCGAGGCAATAGAGAGAGGGACTCGGAGTGAGTCCAGACTCCAGGGTCTTACAGTATGTTAGACATATCCATCTTCTGATTTTGAATGTAGTTGTACTTACTCGAGTCTGTCTTATTTACCATATCAAACATTATAAACTCTTCTTTTTTTTTTATGAAAAGCCATTTCCCAGTGTACATGCTACATATCTTGCAATATATATTTACATGTTGTAGAAAAGTAGCTGAACTAGATCTTGTATTATGATGTTTGTCAAGAGAAAATATGAGATCTACAACATGTAGAAAGTAGCTGAACAGATCTTGTATTCTAATGCTGATAAGAGAAATATGCTTATTTTAATGTGTGAAAAACTAAGGTATATCTTAGTAACATGTTTTTCTTCTGAAGTGGATTTTGTCATTTTTATGTTATCTCTGTTATCCTAATTTTCAAAGTCATATAAGTTTTTTATTTAGATTTGGCCATTATTTGAGCTTAACATGCCTAGTTGTTAACAAGAGAAGTTTGACAGGTACAAAATTCACATAATTAACGCCCGTTGGCCATGTCTTTGAAAAACAGTTACATTATTTATAGTGTCTCAAATTCTACAGGTAAAACTTCACGACGATTTTTATATTAAATTCCATGACAATAGCTATTTTTCATGTTTGGGAATGGCATGTTCTGGTCTCAATTAATGATGCATTCTCACCAAACATCAAAATTAAATTGTAGTTATGATGTGCATTTATCATAACCAGTATTACTTGTCATACTCATTTTCCATGGACTTCCCATATATAGCTGTGATGCCTATTGTCTTTAATAAACATCTTATTCAACTCAAACACTGCATTTATTAATTTATTTATACATGTCCTTGCTAGCTCATTTTAGGAGATTTTTTACCCTCTTTTTCCAGTGGATGCATGCAAATGACTGGCAAGACTACTTATTACAGCCAACCCTTAAACTGCACATTAAAAGCAATTATCTTAACTTGTATAACTCATGTTGTGTATGGCGCTTGGTAAAATGTGTAAGAATAATGTTGTGAAGAACATATTAGTAATATTAATATTTGTTGTGCTGGCACTATTTCTTATACAGTAATGTGATTTGATTTATTAGAAATAACAGGCATTGTATAATTTCAAAAAGAAAAAAATACAAAAAGATACCTTCCACAAATATAACAAAAGAAAGATGGAATAATTGTGTCTTTAACTATATTAGTGCAAGCATTAAAAGTTTTTATGTTTGATTTGACAATACTTTTTGAGTCTATATAATGAGGATGAATCTAAACAGTGCACTGTACTCTTACTAAAATTTCAAATCATTTTATTGAAAATATTTGAAAAAGAATCTTAAAGAGTATGGGTTGACTCTTGAAAGGAATTGTGACTAATCATTCGAATAAGTCACGAGAAAGCAAACTGTAACAAAAAAAAAAAAAGAGAGACAAATAATCACAGGCAGCAGCAGCTAAATTCCTTTTGCAGTAAGAGACAAATTGGAGCTTCAGATTCAAAGAAGAGTAGGAACAAGTTGAACTTGAAAACTCCAAAAGAATTGGACTTTTACCTCTCTGTCTTCTTGCAACAAAATTATATTCCTTCCTATCATATGCATTTCCATTCACCATAAAATAAAATATAGATTCACTCGTTAACTTATATATGTGTTTCTAAATTGCAAACTAAATATCATATCAAATTTATACATGAATAACTTACATCCTAACTAGTTACCATGATATTACGTACGGAGGATTTAATATCAACATAACTCACCAGTCACCACCAAACAGCTACAAAACGACCACTAACCTTTATAACGTACAGATACACAAGGAGGCAAAAACAGATGATATTTAAAAAGAAGATACTTAGGTATTCAGCTTTGTTTCCATTTGTAGCTAGTCCATCAGCTACTTGGTTGGCGACTCCACCTTAGTCAAGGATAACCTGCAATATCATCACCGAGATTTAGCACAACGTTCATTGCCATTAGTTAGCATGTTGACTACCTTTCTTTCGACTTCCAACACATATAAATTAAAAGACAATGGCCGAGGTGAGTGCAAGTTGATCCGAACAATAAATTAAATGACAATGCTACCATAACCGCAATATAATCTCTGCAAAATGTGTTAGTTTTTGTGGCTAATCAGCAACTTATTGCCCCATTGCTATTTCTTGTTACATCCCATTATCCTTCATTCCAAGGTTAGCTTTAGCAACATTCATTTTGTATAAGTTTGTAAGAGGAGGGTTCCATTTGACTCAACAGTTTGATGGAGGATACTATTGGTAGTTGTTTAGGGTTGTATATTAAGTTACCCTTGTAACAACATTGTCGATACTGAGCATTTTTTATTTATTGTTAAATAAATTTTTATTTCTATTTACCATAGGTGCCAAAAGTAGCCTCTCTACACCACAAAGGTAGGGGTAAGGTCTCACACATCCCAGACATCACTTGTGGGATTACACTAGGAATCTTCTTGCTGTTACCAAAAACAGAAAGGGAATAACTCTATCAATTTCAAGTTATGGGATTACGTCATGCAAAACTAGCCAAAGGAAGTATACGTCATTTTCTTCAAAGTGTTTAGTTTCAGAGCCATTTACAGTTAAGTGTATGATCTCTGCCAATTTATGGTGGTAAAAGATGGTAGGCTGATGGAGTACTGAACAACCCATTTTGTTTCCATAAGAAGATCTCGAAATCTTCCTAGCGGTTGGAACTTCTAATGTAAGTATAGTCCAATCTATTGAAAATGTGTTCAGGAAGTTCAACGGAAAGATAGTAAGAAAAGTTTGTCTATCATGTAAGTAGTCTGAGAAGGTTTAAGTGTTCCTCATTGAAGTTGAGAGGCCTATGAATCATGCTACATAGTGCCAAGGAATGTTGGATCCAAGAGTTGTTCCGAGATTTCATTTACTTCGAGACAAAGATTTCAACCTGCACAAACATTATTCCAAGTATGGGCGGGTGTATGGGGGCTATTTGTATCTATATTTCTTGCATTCATTAATTGTTCCCAGAGTGAGTTATTATCATTATGAAATCTCCAAGCGAGTGATGCAAGAAGATCTTGTTCTTCCAACTTGATTTTTGTAATGCTAGTTGGTAGTGAAATAGTTTGCATGATATGTTTAGTATGCAGGCCAACATTGATTCAACAAGCATTGTTCTACAAGTGAAACTTTCATATTTAGGGTATGATTTAGACTGTGTGTGAATGATCTATCCTATGAGTGAAATTTTCATATTTAGGCTTAAAATTTACTTCTTCGAGTTCATGTCAAGCTGTCGCGTGTATTATTTGGTTCTATTATCAAAGACCCCTCAAGACATTCTACAAGGATCCCAATTCTAAAACCTTTGGTTTATCTGTTGATTTCTAAAGAAAACCTTCACTATGTTGCTAGACAAAAAGATATTTCTGCCACCCCAGTACTGCTACAACCAAAAATTACACTTAACCTTAGGCAAGTAAAAGAAATAGATATGATGAGAGCCTAAAATCACTGGAACTAAGTAACAATTCTCTAGCATTTCATATGACTTCTATGACAAAAAGCATTGCTGATCATATAGCAAATGGAAGGAATCTCAAGGGAAATAGATGGATGAGGCGCAATTGCTAAGCACGTAATGACTATTTACCTTTACTCACTAAAACAGCAATTTTAGCTCCAAAATCATTAAACAACAATTTGATTTGGACTTATGATACACTTGGATTACCATAGATGGAATACTCACGAGGATTAGTAATAGAAGTTACTGCAATTGATATGATAAAAAAGGATAGAGTGGCTAATACATTATGTGGAATGATTTACTAATAACACCAAAATCCTGATGGCATGGGATACTTCCACACAACATTCACAGTTGATGCATTAACCACACAAATAGATAGCATTATGGTATTTAACCAGGAACCTTGATCTGTTTGATATGTATTTACATGAACGTTTTAACTGAGAAACCAAATTGACCAACTCAATAAAACTTTTGAATAAGAAACAAAACTGATACTGCTATGTACATGTTCAGACTGTAAATCAATCTACTAGCTCAACCCAAACTAGTCGGTGTCAGCTATATGAATCCTTTATATCCATTCCACTCTATTTGGGCGTACTTCATTTAAATACTCAATAATCTCTTTTTAGGGAATTTAAGGATTCTCTGAACGTTATCCAGAAAAGAAAACACCGAGGGCTCCCTCAAACTAGAGGTTCTTTAACTCCCACACTTATTCTATACTAACATACAAATCTTTAACGAAACATAAAAAAAAATCCCCTGGAAACAAAATAACTAATGTAAGTTTAACAGCAATTACTCTAACTATGCTCTTGCTCACAGAATGTAGTTGGTCCTAAACCCTGATCAATAAAGAGGGTTGTGGAATGTTGGTTCAATATGAAGTTCAAACAGTAAAGGACAAATTCTTTTAGAAATGAAAAGCAAGAACAGTGTTTCAGCTATACTTCTCCCCTTTGTTTTGGTTTGACCAACTATCTAAGGGTTGTCGAAAAAATAACAACCTCCTGAAATGCAAAACTACCATCAAGAGAAGTAAAACTAACATACAACAATTATGAAGTGTACTTATTATTAATTTTAAATATGATGTAACATTATCCTCAAATCAATATTATAAAAATCATTTCAGTAAAGAGCATCCACGTTCAGGTTAGATCCAGGGAAGGACGCACCCCAAGGGAATGCAACGTAGGCAGCCTACCCTGATGCAAGCATCAGTAGTTAATCCCACGGCTCAACCCCGTGACCCATATGGGTCTCACAGAGACAACTTTCCTATTGCTCCCAGGCTTTCCTTCAATACATCAATAGTAAAATCATTTGTATTCAATATCTCTTGTCTCTGTGAACACGAACTCATGTTGAACAAAATGAGAAGTAATATTTACTTATTTTGAAACTTGTAGCAGTCAAAATGAGAAGTAATATATAATATTCTGATTGTTTCAGTGTAACCAGAAAAAGCACATGATCTAAAATGCATTAGTTACCTGTCATAGCTTGGATGTATGGACCATTAATCTTGATGAATGGAACGTGTTTTATCTTGTGCCAATCTTCTCCGACATCCTTTCTACATCTTGATCCCAAATTTGGACAGCCCCATATAGACAGAAACTGAAGCTTAGTTAGCTTTTTCACTGATTCTGGTAGAGAACTTAATTTTCCGCAGTACCACAGCTCCAATTCTCTAAGGGAACTGAGGTCTCCTAGCCATTCTGGAAGCATATACATCTCAGAACAGCTCCATATATGCAGAGTTTGAAGAGACGTAAGGTGTTTCATGGGCATCGGCAAGGTTGTCAAGTTTCCACAGTCAGAGAGTGATGCATATTGAAGAAACTGTAAGCTTTGTAATCCTTTTTCCAGGCTAATGTTATGGCAACCATGAATGGACAAGGACTTCAAAGTCCCAAGTCCACAGGAATCGAGCACAGAACTGAGATTCTTACAGTTACTGACACTTAATGACTTGATACAAGGAAGAACTTTCAGCTCACTCGAAAGACTTTGAATCTCTGGACACTCTCTAATTTCTACAGACAGTAGACTTTTATTGTTTTTCAGCAACCCTTCAGGTAAGAGTATAAGTTCCAAAAATCCACTGATCATAAGATGAGTAAGGGAGGTAATGTTGGCTGCTGTCTCTGCTAGTAATTCATTGCTACAATCAGACAATTCTAATGAGTTGAGAGAGGGTAGATATGGCAGGTTATTCAAATGGGGACATGCCTCACACGTAAGTTTCTTCAAACGAGGAAGAACACCATGATCTTCATTAACTGACCATCCCCGTAGAGAGGGCATATTCCTGAGGGTCAGTTGCTTCAGTGATGCAAAATGTGTAGCTGAATCCTTTACACCAGAACTACCACAGAAATACATTGCAGAATCCATTCCATCAACAGTGAGAACTTCAAGAAAAGGCAGTTTCTCTAGTTGAGGCAGTTCCACGCACCTGTGACATTTGAGAAGTGAGAGTTCCACAATGCTTACCAAGTATGTAGTCATCAACCAACTAGGGAAATTTGCACCAATATAACCCTCCAAGTGTAACTTCCTCAAATCAGAATTTGGTTGAAGGCCTTCAACAACTCGCTCAACATTTTCTCTTGTCTCCATTTCTTCAACTTGTCCCCATATTAAATTTAGAATTCGGATGTGCCTCTTACCTTTCAAGTTTGCATTTTTGGCACATATTTCATTGGACAAGTTCTCAAGGTTCTTGATCATTAATTCACCATGAAGATCAAGTCTCTGCAATTCTGAGATGTCACTAGCAGCAGCATCGCTAACAATGTAAACTGGCAAAGTTTGAAGGGATCTCATCTGTCCAATGCCACCAGGTAACATGGTTAAGGATGTGCATCCATATATATCCAGATGTCTAAGGTTCACCAACTTTCTAATTTCTGCCGGAAGTTCTATCAGATGGTTGCAATGCTTAAGCATTAAAGCTTCAAGATTAAGGAGGCAACAGATAGACTTAGGCAATGTTCTCAGCAGAGTATTTGAAAGATTGAGGTACCGCAGATGTAATAAAGTACCAATTGAATTAGACAACTTCTTTATGCGAGTACTGCTGCAATCTAAAGCCCGAATAGATCTAAAGCTCAAAAAGAAACTCTCGGAAAGTTTTGTGATATGTCTTTGCCCATCCAATAGAAAAATTGATCGCAGCTTTTGAGCACTCTTCAACATGGAGGGATTTTTAGGTACCACCTCATTGCCAAACATTGATAAGTGGCGTGTCGCCACAGGAATGATAACCTCCTCGCCAAGTTCTGCTGTAAAACAATCAACACCGCCTACAGATTTGGCAAGATCGTGAACAAGATCATGCATGTCACACTCGACTATATTCCCGTCAAAATCTCTTCTCACATTTTGGAAGAAGGAGCGCCACAACAACTCATTGAAATAACCATTCCCAACTTCTTCCGGTGGTATGCTTTCAGAGGACGGAACAAATCCTTCTGCCATCCATAGGTGTATCAAGGTGTTCTTATTTATCCGATATCCCTTGGGAAATATAGAACAATATGCAAAACATTGTTTCAAATGTGTTGGCAGGTATTCATAACTTACTCTTAGGGCCGAAAGAATACCAGCTCCATCTTCATGTTCCATAAGATCCCACATTGCACAATCTCGGATGAAGGACCACTCAGATTTCTGATTCTTTAAGCACATCAAACTTCCAAGGGCCTTTGCTGCTAAAGGAACTCCCCTACATTTCTTTGCAATTTCTTTCCCAACCTCCTCAAGAGCTAATAGTTCTTTTTGCCTATTCTTATATGCAAGCTCCTGAAACAAGGACCAGCAATCACCATCTGAAAGGCCTTCCAAACGGTATGGATTTGTTGTGCCCATCAATAATGCAACCTTCTCATTGCGAGTAGTCACTAGGAGTTTACTCCCATCCAAACCACTGTGAACTAAGTTCTTCAATCTCTCATATTTCTCGTGATCATCATCCCATACATCATCTAGGACAAGCAAAAACTTCTTGCCCAATATCAACTCCTGGACACGCCGCTGGATCACATACATCTCTACAAGGTTACAACTAGTACCAGTGCCAGATTCTATGATTGCTTTTAGAAGTCTTTTCACATTAAATCCTTGTGAGACACAAACCCATATTCTCGTATCAAAACTACTCTCCACAACAGCATCATTATAAACCAATTTCGCAACTGTTGTCTTCCCAATTCCTCCAATTCCAGTAATACTCTCACAACTGACAGATCTGATCCTATAAGTAACTTGATTATATTCTTTTTATCCTCATTTCTCCCTAAAATCTTCGATTCAATTACATAAGAATCCGACTGTGGTCTTTCACAAGAAAACCCTTTTTCATAAACAACATCCCTAAAATGAATTTGGCTCTCTCATTCGCTACCAGTTCTAACTTTTCGACAACTTCTTTCAGTTTCAACTTCATACTATAACCCAAAAAAATCAATGAACCATTCAAATAAAGAGAATTAACAGCATGGAAAACACAATAACGAGTTTCCCCGTCATCAAGAATTACCTTATGACGAAGCAATTCAGTCATATATTCATCCAACAAATCATCCGCTTCATAGACTATGTCTTTCAGCTTCATCAGCCAGTTCTTCAAAGCTTTTTCTTTCATTTGCCTTTCCTCAGCATCTTGTAAAACAGCTTGAATTGTCGATAATGTGCTCTGCAGATTCAGCATCTCTTTCTTTGTACTACCTAGTATTCCAATTTTTTGGAAATTTTGGGAAGCTATCTTTTGGAAGACAACTTCCATTAAAGCAGAAAGTAATGCTTCAGCCATGGCTAGTATTGAAAATTCTGAAGGTATCAACAAATTTCTTTGAGAAAGATTTTAGTAAAGAAATGCAATTTATACAGTTGATTATAGATTTATGCGAAAATTATATAGCTAAGTTAGATTCTTTATGTTTTACTATTAAAACTTTCGTAAATTCTTACAAAGGTATCCGAGTTAGATCTACAGAATCAGATTTTTCCATTAAGAATTACAAAATGTTTAAATTAACTTAAAATTTTATTTTTAATTCAATAAAGAAAAAGTTAAATTTCAAAAATATTTTTTACGTCAAAAAAATAAAAAATAGAGAGAAATCTATTTTTGATTTTTAACTTATTTTATATATTTATCAAACCCTATCAAAAATAAAAAATAATTTCAAAAAATGTATTATCTAACTTTTAAATTAATCCAAACGCTCTTTTGATATTTTTCTCGATTTATGAAATTTTGCAATCCGATGATATTTTCGTTGGTTGAAGCGAAAATATCTCTAAAATGTATATCATATTAGAATCTACTAGTCGATTGACGGATTTGTCATTTTAGGGAATTTTTATTTAATAATTGATTTATTTTATTTTTTAGTGTGCCATTAATGTTACTTCAAAAGAAGGGGAAATTCCATGATTAGCAAATATATACAAATTAATTAGTCGTTATAGTTTTAAGTTTAGTTACTTATTATTTGCGACAAGTATTCGGTAATAATTACGTCAATTGGATTTTTGGATTTGTATAGTGTAAATTTTTATGATGTAAATTGTATAGTTATTTAAAGTTCAAATGTTTGTTTTTGTATAAATTCATTATATCGAGTTTATATAAAAATAGTTCAATTAAACAAGGGAAAAGGAATAGATTTACCCTCGAATTTTAATAAATGGTACGTCTATGCCCTTCGTTATGCATTGCATACATATATGTCCTTGTCCTCCAATTATAGGTACAAATATATCACTCACTATCAGACCTGTATTTTTTACGTGTCTTAATCCTATTAAACTATATATTTGACCCATATTTTTAACCCATAACTAACAATCCGCCCCATATCTCATAACCCACCCAATACAAATTAAATCCATATTAACATTTCTATTTTAATAGTTTGAGGGGAGCTGATCTGCAGTAATTTTACATTCTAACAACTTTGAAGTGATGTTTTTAGTATATCAATTCTAATTTATTCAGAAACAACATCTGGTAATTAAATCCTTCGATTTTAATCTAAGTTGGTGTTTTACATATTGTTTTCATTGCATATGGTCAATCTTGATGGAGACAACGAACCTAAATGGATAAAGAGGGTGAAAATCAGAAGGTGTATTGGGTGGGTTATGGTTTATGGGACGGATTGTTGGGTTATGGGTTAAAAAAAGGGTCAAACAGATAGTTTAATAGGATTGAAACATGTGTAAAAAAATTGGGATCCGTTAGCAAGAAGGGTATATTTATACCTATAATTGGACGCACAGACATATGTGTACGCAAAGTATAACGGAGGGCATAGACGAATCATTTATTAAAGTTCAGGAGTAAATCCGTTCCTTTTCCCATTAAACAAATATATCCGTGTATTATACAAACGCACCCGCGAATTGTACAAATGAGGTTGCTTAAATTGTAGCTACAAGTTTACAATTGATCATAATATGCAAAATATAGTTATAGCTATATTAAGTTTATTATAGTAGCTATTTTGAAAAAATTCCTAAAAAATAATATTGTGAATCACAACAATTAATAAAATAAAAAGAAAAAACATAAAGTCACCACCGAAGTTGTCCCATATTTTTAAAAGATACCTTAACTTTGCAACCGTTCTATTATCCCACTAAACAATTTTGAATGGATATAATTAAATCATTTTTCGTCCATATGGCATAGAGAGTGGTGTGCACCCTCTCAAATAGAGTGAGCTGCCTAAAATAACTGATATAATTTTATTTTTACAAGTATTTTACTATAAAATATATTTTCTTATTATTTTAACTATTTTTCCTTTTTATTTTTTCTCTTTCTTTCTTATTTATTTTAAAAAATTCATAGTCAATCTCCATTCATTGAAGATTCTTACCTTCAATGTCACCATTATTACCACAATTTCACCTTTTTTTTTATTACTATTAGTTTTACTCTATTTAATTTTAAAATTTTATCAAAATATTTCCTTACATTTTGAACAATTCGATAAACTCATTAGATTTAAGATGATTAGGAAGTATCATATAGTTTTTTTTTATTCAATTTCAATTAAGTTATTTCAATTTTATTGATTCTTTTAAAATTATCATTTCTAATTTTGAATTTATATGAAAATGAGTAGTTGATTATACCTTCAAAATTTTAAATTTTCTTAAAAAATAATTAATTTTGTTATCAATAATTCAATAAAGTCTAAATAATAGTATAATTTTTAAACAGTTTGATCGGAGAAAAAGAAGAAAAAGAAAAGAAAAAAATGGAAGTGAGTTTCAATTTGACATGAGGGTGGGAGATGAAGAAAAAGAAAAAGAAAATAAAGGGATGAATCACTTGAAAGTGGGAGGTGGAAGATGGAATGAAATTTAAGATATATCAAAATTAAAATTCAAAAGGAAGAGAGAGAGAAATAAAGAAAGAAAAAGATAAAGGAAAATTTAGAATGAAAAAAATATATTTTTAATTAAATTAACACGTGTCATGTAATGATTGGAGTGTGAACTCACTTACTTCTTAAAATTTGGGGCTGATCGAAAAATAGTATAATAATATCTGTTCAAAACTGTTTAGTGGGATAATAAGACAGTCGCAAAGTTAAGGTGTCTTTATGAAAATCCGAGACAACTTCAATGGTGATTTAATGTCTCTTCTCTAAAATAAAATATGAAAAAACATACTAAATATTTTATGAACTCTCAAAATTTTACTAGTGCCACAAAATTTGAGATATAGAGAGTAACATATATTATTTGACAGCAATGTTAAGAACACTATAAATCACAATAATTAACAATTTAGAAATATTTTTTTAAGTAATAAAAATTGGTTAACTCTCAAAATTTCACAACTTAATTTTTTTTTATCCTCGAAGTATTGAAAATGGTACAAAACTATCCTTCATCCACTTATTGGCTCCAAAATGCCCTTTTCACCCACCTATTGGCTTTAAAATACCCTTTGTCATCCACATTTGAGTTCAAAGTTTAAAATTGATCACTTATTTAACGGTTTCAACTTTAAACTATTGAAATAATTTTTTTAAATACTTGGCGCTCAACTATTAGATATAATTTAATTTATTAATATCATTTATAAACCAACCCACTACCCACTCATTACTAATTAAATCCCACCCAATTAATAAACCAATTCTAATATCAAAATCGCCCTAAAAAGTACTAAAACACGACGAAATTACAGATTCCTGAAAATGACATTCAAAATTATTCAAGTTTGAATTGAAAACACAATTAAATTAAGTTTGAGCCGCTTATTTAGGAGGACACTTTCAATATGATTCTCATTTAAGCTTGAACTCAAATTTTATGATTAAAGGTAAAGAAGTAGTACATCCCGAATTAATTCATGCATTTTTTTAATATAATTTTGTAAATATTTATTATTTGTTTTAAATACTAAAACTTTAATATATTCTTTTGTTAAAAAAGTTATCTATTGAGTAATAGTACATAATTAAGACGAATGAATAATTAAGATCAACATAGTCACACTTTCAAGTTTATCGATAATTTTTAATTAGACACCGAATTATAATATGTTTTGATTGAGGACTTGAATGTATTATAATCTACTCCTATAGATATTTTCGCCTCAAAACATTCATTGAGAGTAGTTTTTCTATTGTTGCATTAGTAGTGGAGCGGGTTTATTAATTGGGTGTGATTTAATTAGTAATGGGTGGGTAGTAGATTGATTTATAAATTATATCAATAAGTTAAATTATAACAAATAGTTGAATACCATGTATATATTTAAATAGTTTAAATTTAAAATTGTCAAATAAGTGGTCAATTTTAAACCCAAAGGTGGATGAGAAGGGTATTTTGGAATCAATAAGTGGATGAAGGGTAGTTTTGTACTATTTTTTTTTATTCTTCAAGGGTATTTTAGACCCTTTTCCATTTTTTTTAAAGTGACTCAAATTTTGATTATCTCTCAGAGTTTTCCATGTGCCACGTAAATTACGATAAAGTGAGTAACATATATTATTTAAAAATTGTGTTAAAGAAATCATAAATCACAATAATTGATAACATAAAATATTTTAAAAATTGATCAACTCTTTTAATTATATATGTGCCACATAAATTGAGATAAATAAAGTAGATTGAATCCATAGGTGACCCCTTAAAATTGACATCAACTTTCAATTAGACACCATAACTAAACTATGTTCATTTTAGACACCTCATGTCATGCCCGTTGTGTCATCTTGACTCTTTTTAATGAATTGACAAGGTGTGTATGTTGCAGTGATTTTAAGCGCGCGAAAAGCATTCTTTTTTTAAAACAAATATTTTTTTTCACTTTATCTTCTTCCCTCTTTCTCCTTCACCTTTCACCACTATTATATATTGATTGAGTAAAACAAAAGGAATCATATACTCATTGAAAAAAGATTGAAAAGAAATCATAAACTAATTGAAATAACTTACAAAAACTCTTTTTAAAAAAAATAAAATAAATCAGATCTAATAAATAACATCACTACCTTACCGGAAAAGATAGAGATCCACCATTTTTGTTACTATTTTTCTCTCTCTCCCTCTCTTCCACCTAAACATATTTGATTTAAAATTAGAATTACTAGTTATAAAATAAAATATGAGACGTCATTGCGAAATTTTTTTTGGATCTAATCTCCTCAATTTTCTAGCGGAAGTCTAATTTGCGGCGAAAATTTTTAGATATGGGTCATTAAAATGACTTTCTAGAAAATAAAATATTTTTCTTATTGAAATATTTAAAATATACATTTAAATGAGTTTTCCTTCTTCTTCTTATAATTATTTTTCTCTTTTTAACCAAATTGACATATGTCTTCTTATAATTTGTCATCATGCCATATCATCCTCGAGTAAATTACACACATTTTTAACTTTTGTTGATTGTTAAAAAAATATCAAAATGATACGGTGAGATAAGTCATAAGGCGTCTAAAATGAACAAAACTCAATTGAAGTGTCTAAGTGAAAGTCGGTGTCAATTTTAGGGGGTCATTGATGGGTTCAGTCTATATAATATATATTAGGCTTGTGTTTGATATAAATAGTTTAGATGTATCATTAATTTGATTATTTACGATTTATAGCTACATGTTACAAAGGAAGATGTACGAGCAAGGTAACGAGAGGGAGAAAAGAGACGAGTGAGAGAGTATAAATAAGCGAATTGTATTGTATATCTGTTTGTCACTCTATATATGTAACTAGTATGCATATGTATCAATAATGATATATGTATATCTGTTGAATAATTGTATATATGTATTCCCTTTGACTAATTGACTTACTTTTGATTTGACAAATAATTTAAGATACGAAGAAGACTTTTCAATCTTGTAGTCCTAAATCAAACTTATGTCAAGTGTATAAAAATATTTTTTAATCTTGTGATTTAAATATGTCACGTGAAAAACTGAAATCAAAAGTGTTACTAAAAAGGAAACGGGTTATTCTTTTGAAGCAGACTAAAAACGAAAATAGGTCAGTCTTTTAGAAGCTGAGAAAGTAATTAGTATTATGTGTATCAATGAATACAATTGTATTAACGAATACAATTTTCATCAACAAATAAAGTCATATCAAGTTAAATATTTATATATGTATAATTGATGATTATCATTTGTATCAATGTAGTAATAATGAATATTGTGCATTTGTATTTTATATCATTGAAAACATATGTATAATTAACATTTATTATTTGTATTTATAATTGACTGTTAATATTTGTATTTGCATAATTGATTGTTATTTTATTTATATAAAAGAGAGGAAGGAAAGAGAAGCGAGCGAAAAAGAGGGGGCAGGAAGAGGCGAAAGGCAAGTTGCAACAGAGTGTAGAGCAAGAAGAGAGGAGAGAGAAAATAGCTACAAAATCCTAATTATAGCTTACAATTAATTTTTAATTAGCATATATCACATATTTGTTGTAAAAAATTTCCATTGTTTAATTCTTCTTAGTATATGTTATTAATTTAATATTGTTTATGGTTATGGTTAAAAAATTAAAATCGAATTACAATGTCAATTAGATTCATTAAAAAGTTGATATTTGGTTTAGTTTTAAATTTTGAAAATCGATACTATTTGATTTTGTTTTGATTTTACAAATATACAACCACAACTATAACCAAATTGAGCCAATATATTAGATACATAAATCTTATAATTATTTATATATTATTCATAAATAATATATATATATATATATATATATATATGTTTTATTAATTTTTAATTAACTTATGTCTTTAACTTTACCATTTTCTCAAGCCCCAAACTTAGCCCAACTATATCAATTCTATGTCCAGATCCATCAAAATTCATATTAGTCAAACTTTATCGATCCTACTTCAGATAAAATAGTTACATTTTTTCTTAATTGAATCACTTTGTTTTTGTAACGATAACTTTAGTATTGCTTAATTGAACCGACAATAGCTTTTTTGTGAATTGTTCATCTACGACGTGTTTGTGTCTATCGAGACAAGTATGTCCTCAAAAAAATTATTACTTTCAAATCAAATAAATCAGAAAAACTGAATCAAACCAACAATAACCAAACTAATAGTTATTATTTTGATTCGATTTTAAAAACCAATTAAATTAATTTAATGTTAATTTTAATGAATAACCGACCAAGAAACCCCCTAGTTATATTATTATTACATATGTGTAGTTCAAGTTTTGTCATTAATTAATTAATTATTAAAAACACTCCAAAATATTTGTCGACCATTAAAATATATATTTCAGGGGTAAAGCTAGAAGAATGTATACTAGGGCTTTTATTTGGGTTTCCCTCTTCTTCTTTTTTTCACTCTAGCTACTGTCTCTTTGTCTTCCACAGAAACCCTTTCACAGCATTTGCTAGGGTTTAAGGAATCTTCGAGTACATACTGTAGTTGTTGTTAGCCTTACGAGATCAACTAAAATGCAGCCCTATGGAATTCAATCAATGCTGAAAGAAGGGCACAAGCATCTTTCAGGTCTCGACGAAGCTGTTCTAAAAAACATCGATGCTTGTAAACAGCTCTCCACTATTACTCGAACTTCTCTCGGCCCAAATGGTACGATCTTCTTTTTGATCTGGGTTTTCGTTTTTGTATACTCTGCTGAAAAACATCGATGATTTTGTTGGTATAGTTGGTTTTTTTTGACAGCCAATGTGTATGTATATGTGTGTTTTTCGGATCAGTAGATTCGATGACAAGAAAGTGTCAGTTTGGGTATATAATGCTAATGGAAAGTTTATGTCTGTACTTGATAAATAATCTGAACAGCATTTCCATTAAGATCCCTCACAACCACAAGAAAGAAGAACAAATATAGCAGTTTATTTCTTCTGTGATGTTTTTGATTTTCGCTTTAATGATATTAATAGTTTCAGAGGGTTAGAGTTGGGAAAAAAATATAAGGGATAATACAGTAGACATTCATTGAGGGGGTTTACCAAATTTAGCAATATGGAAATCAAATTGGAGACTAATTAAGTAGTTCTCATCTCTGAAGGAGTGTGCTCCATGCATGCTCCTCCTTGGTATCCTTTTTATGAGTTGTTTTTCTTAATCTTATTGCCGTTCCTTAGTGACTTCAATTCTATTAATTTGTTCAGGCATGAATAAGATGGTTATCAATCATCTGGACAAGCTCTTTGTCACGAATGATGCTGCCACTATTGTGAATGAGCTTGAGGTCCAGCACCCTGCTGCAAAGATATTGGTTTTGGCCGGAAAGGCACAGCAAGAGGAGATTGGTGATGGAGCTAATTTGACTGTTTCATTTGCGGGGGAGCTCCTCCAAAATGCTGAGGAGCTCATTAGGATGGGGTTGCACCCTAGTGAAATTATCATCGGGTACAATAAGGCAATAAATAAGGTATGTTATATCTTCTACACTAATCATGCTTACCGCTATGTTGACAAGTGATTTCAGGTTGACTTGCTAATTGATTACATCCCTGCAGACAATTGAATTATTGGATGAGCTAGTTGAGGCAGGTTCCGAGAATATGAATGTCAAAGACAAGAATGAAGTTATTTCACGGATGAAATCTGCAGTTGCTAGCAAACAATTTGGACTAGAGGATGTCCTGTGTCCCCTTGTTGCTGAGGTGCATGACCTGCTCTTTTGTAGTATTCTTGGTGGTTTTTGCTTCCACATTTTCTAATTTGACTTTTTTGGTCTGTGTAGGCTTGCATTCAAGTGTGCCCTAAAAACCCAGCGAACTTCAATGTGGATAATGTACGAGTCGCAAAGCTATTGGGTGGGGGTTTGCATAATTCCACCATAGTTAGAGGTATGGTGTTGAAAAGTGATGCTGTTGGGAGCATAAAGAGGATAGAGAAGGCAAAGGTGAACCATTACAAACACATTCGAGAAATTACTTTTCTGTTATTGTTACAGCATAAGAGGTCTATTTCGGTATTTACATCTCCCTTCCTTATTCAGGTTTAGTCATTGTTACCCTGTTTGGTTATAGTTCAGAACTTGAGATTCACCTTCACTTTGCCTTTTGTGCAATTTTCACCTGTTTGTGAGATCTATTTTAGTGTTCTCTTACAAGGCCTATTATAGCTATCTTTTCCTCATATTACTATTTGAAAATAGTTTCTTCTGCATACTTCAATTTAAAATTGTATCTTCAGCATGATGCAAGAATTGTTATTCATAAACCATTCAGTTATATGAAGATGCACTTCTCATTTTCTAGGATGTTCCATTATGTTTGGTGGGCTTCTTCTAAAATACGTATGCACTTTTGGTTTTTATTTAATTCTAATTGAACTGGGCTAGTTCATGCCTAAGAAGGATTACAGGGACAATGGGTAGTTGCTGAACCTTTAGATAATAGTCATAACCTGATAAGTGGTTAATAACATAGAACATTTACTTTTGCTATTGCGGCATAGACTGGAACAATAATTGTGCATGCTGATAGAGAATCAACAATCTAAGTCCCACAGTAAGTAGATCAGTTGTTTCTATGGTCTTTCTGCACAAGTTTTGACTTCAGATTTTATTGAAAATTTGAATGGTTTGCTAGAACATTTGAGTTTCAATAATTGACAGTTTGCTAGTTTACATTGATACCCGGATACCTGTTATTCCTTCAGATACTACAGTGTTTCTCATCACTACCTAAGATGAGCTCCCCCCTCCCCTCCCTCCCTCCCGACACACACACACTCTTATTTCCCTGGTCAAAACACTGTCCAGTTTTTTTCACATTTTTCCCGGATAAGTGCTTTCCTACCCTCCTGTACCTGCTGTTATCCTTCCTTCACATCATGAAGAACCAAAATTTAGACCCCTGTTCCTGCTTCTCCCACTGATCCCTGTTTCTGCAAGCCAATTTTCTTTGCTCCTGATTTGTTTTGTACATCTTTCAAGCATCTATTAGTCTTTATATCAAACTGAAGAAATACGTGAAACTCATGATACTATTTTTTCACATTTCCGAGGGACTATAGTAGTTGAAAATTCTAGGATAAGGGATATGTGTTGCGTTGATGGAGCTGAAATTACTTAACTTATAGAGGGCTTCTTTGTTGTTCTTCATCCCCCTCCTAATTTAACACATTCTAGCGAGACACAGATGGGACAAAGCTCTATTGGGTATGAGGTTACTATTTGGAGCAACTATTCTTCATAAAGCTCATGCAATCACCCATATGGGAAGATAAAAACACAGTGAATATGTGCTTTTCTGAGGGACTATAGTAGTTGAAAATTCTAGGATAAGGGATATGTGTTGCATTGATGGAGCTGAAATTACTTAACTTATGGAGGGCTTCTTTGTTGTTCTTCATCCCCCTCCTAATTTAACACATTTTAGCGAGACACAGATGGGACAAAGCTCTACTGGGTATGAGGTTACTATTTGGAGCAACTATTCTTCATAAAGCTCATGCAATCACCCATATGGTAAGATAAAAACACAGTGAATATGTGCTTTTCGGTCCTCTATGTTTGGTATTTGCTTGCTGATCGTATGCATGGAAAATTCTTATCTTGTTCTCGTGTGATGAGCTTTGGCTATTTTTGTCAAGTTGGAACCGATAGGTCTTCTCTCAAGTTTGGTCTCTATGTTGTCTTAATAATAGCGGCTGTCTACATTAGCATACTCACAGTTGAACTATCATCCTCTTCGTTCAGCCTTCTCTTGGTTTTATGCTTAAAGGATCCATCTACTCCAATGCAGGTCGCTGTTTTTGTTCAAGGTGTTGATACATCTACAACCGAAACAAAAGGAACAGTTCTTATTCATAGTGCTGAGCAGGTAACCCATTGGAACTGTAGTGCTTGTACTGAAGATGTGAATTTCTCATTGTTATAGGAAGTATATGCACAAGTATTTTGTTGTTTCTGGATCGAGTTAGATATGCTAATTGACAAACAGTAATTAACAGGAAAACTGATAGATGATGCATTCATCTGCTTAAGACAGGAAGTGCTAATTTTGATTTCAATCTGATATTTGTATGGCCTTTCAGAATAAATTTTCTATTATTAATTGTAGTGTTAAGCTTTTAGTCTAGGATTAGCATCACGCTGAACTATTTTACTAAATAATTTGCAAATTATTAGGTACTATGACTTTATTCACTCCTCGTGTTTTATTCAAATTTAGAATTCATTTGAAGTCCAAAGAAGTTAATTTCATGTCTTCATTTTTTTCTACCTATTTATCTTTCAACTTTTTCAGCCTGTCAGTGATTCTTTGTCTCTTGCATTTGCAGCTTGAAAACTATGCAAAGACTGAGGAGGCTAAGGTGGAGGAACTTATTAAATCAGTTGCTGATTCAGGTGCTAAGGTCATTGTCAGTGGAGCAGCGGTGGGAGAGATGGCTCTTCATTTCTGTGAGCGTTACAAGTAAGATGAATGTTTTGTCTTATATTTGATATTTTAATAATTTGCGACTTTTCTGTATACCTCCTAAATATTTCTGGGCAGTTGTTGCATGTTTTCTGAATTAGCAGAGTAAAGAAGCTAATTTTTTGGTGGGGTGGGGTGGTGGGTCATTTTGTGTCCTTTCTCTGCACACATACATACAGAGATCTTATTTATTAATATCAGAGGATTGAGCTTTTAATAGTTTGAAACTTTATTTTTAGTACACCTTCAAACTGTTTTTACAGTTAAAGTCAAAAGAGATAATTGTTCTGAACAAATCTGTGCAACTATGATAACTGAAATACAGTATTATCTTAGATTTGCCACAGTATATTCTTTTGCTTTCTAGTAAGGAGTGTTATATTGTCAAATTCTTATTGTCTTGCTTGGAATTGTCCATAGTCGGCATTGCAGATCCCACTAACCTGGTTTCTTTTCCTCTTAATCCAACTATGGAACCTACAACTTATCTGTTCCATATAGAGCATCATACAGTTACATTAAGATTTAAGGAGCAACTCAGAAGGTTTTGGTTTGTGCTTTTATTGTCTGTACTGCTCATTTTGTTGCTAATCTTCCTATGCTTCACAAATATTCTTTTTTGGCAGATTTTAGTTGAACTTGTGCTATATTTAGTTGAAACTCATCAAAATAGAAAAGGAGAACTTTTGAACTGACTATAGTCCTTGTGTTGTGTTGTATTGCCGACAATGCTCTGGTGATACAAGTTAATGTTTAAGTTTTACGGTAAAGCAGTTGAGGAGATACACTGATAAGAGGTGTAGTGCCATGAAAAGACGAACTAACACTATTTCCTTTACGGATGGAGGAATTTGCTTGTTTGGTCAAATTGAAGGAGATGTTTAATACTATTTCCTTCTTACATAGTGATAGATGTTTGTTTTTTCCATACCTACCCCCTAACCCCCATAAATTAAATCCATTGTCTGTTTGAAGAAAAGATCTCTTTTTTCATCACAGGTACTCTTTGCTTTACACAAATTAGAGCGTTCAATCTTTTATGTGACCTCTTGTGAAAATATATTTTAATTTCTGTTTCTTAGACTTGTTAATGTGTTTACATCTACGCTGGTGTAATTTAGAACTGCTTCATATGGACTTCATTTTTTGTGTTTGCAGACTTATGGTATTGAAAATCAGCTCCAAGTTTGAACTCCGCCGTTTTTGCCGTACCACTGGGGCTGTTGCACTTGTAAGCATACTAGTTCTGTTTGATAATATATGTTAAAGGATAATACTTAAATTTCTTATAGCATTCTTCTTTGATTATAAAAACAGTTAAAGCTTAGCCAGCCAAATCCAGATGACCTTGGCCATGTGGATTCTGTTTCAGTGGAGGAAATTGGCGGTGTCAGGGTAATATTCTTAGATTTTTATTTATATCCGGGCTCGTTTAGTGTGTAGCTGGTATTATCAGTATATTTGATTACTTAAATATGTGACAGGTTACAGTTGTGAGAAATGAAGATGGTGGAAATTCTGTCTCCACTGTTGTTCTGCGGGGAAGCACTGATAGTATCTTGGACGACCTTGAAAGAGCCGTTGATGATGGTGTAAATACCTACAAGGTAAAAAAGTAAAAAACATAGTATTTATACCTTAGTTCTTTTCTTTGCAGATTCACGCATGTGTAATAGTCTGTTGTGCTTACCTGTCCCTTCATTGTTAGGTGTTGTTTGGACATAGAATTAGAGTTGAGAATTACATTATGAAATTTTGATTACTAAGAATTGAGACATTGAGAGATGATGGATAGCTTTGATTGTGTCTGCTTCTGATCTTGAAATTTGACTTTGGTATAAAGTTTCATTCTCAAAAATTTTTTGACTTTGCTTTCTCTATGTTCGTTCCAGGCAATGTGCAGGGATAGTCGGATCGTACCTGGAGCTGCAGCTACTGAAATTGAGCTGGCCAGAAAGCTGAAAGAATTCTCTTTCAAAGAGATGGGGTATTGTTTTTGTTGATTTTTCTTCGCAGATGATCTCTTGCTTCTTACTGCAGGTCAACTTTTCTGTTGTATAACTCAAGTCGTTATTTTCAGGTTGGATCAATATGCAATAGCTAAGTTTGCTGAAAGTTTTGAGATGGTTCCTAAAACGCTAGCTGAGAATGCTGGCCTCAATGCGATGGAGATCATATCATCCTTGTATGCTGAACATGCATCTGGAAATGTCAAAGTGGGCCTTAACTTGGAGAAAGGTGCCTGTGAGGATATCTCTGGCTTGAGTATATGGGACCTCTATGTTACCAAGTAAGTGTTCTTTTCATGGTGTCTGTTTTCTTCTTTCTGTAAGAAGTGTTGAAAGTGATCTATGTGAACACAAAAAAATTCTAGATGTTTCTCACTTTTGCTTGTTTGTTCTATTGTTTTTTTTAAACAAATTTTCACTAGCATGTCTATAGTTGATCCAGTAGACTGGAGTAGCATTCAATTGAGGGAGTGAATTTACAAGCTAACTGAACCTGTTCTCATCTAGAATGGCATATTGTGAATGTTAATGTGCGTACACTCGTTCATATTGTTGTTAATAGGCAATTTAAGTATACAGCTAGTTTCTAGAGAGACTCTTTTGTCAATTGTGAGCAATCCCTAGGGATTCCTGTGTGCAACCACACATTTCTGATTACAATTGTGAAAACCAAGGATGATTTGACATAAAGTAATGTTGATCAGATTGGAATTTGGTTCGTCAGCAGATGGATTCTATAGTAGCAACAAGAACAACATACCTAGTGTAGTCCCACAAGTGAGGTCTGGGGATGGAAGGATGTACACAAACCTTACCTTTGCGGGGGTAGATAAGCTGTTTCCGATAAACTATCGGCTCAAAGAAGTGTAACTGATGCAGGAAATAAGAAAGAGACAATAAAACAATAATGTACAAAACAAGTTTAGCAACAAATATTATTCACACCCGAGATAGAGCAATTACTGGATACTTAAATCATACCAGTTGTGAACTTCTAATGAATAAAAAGGATTAAAAGGACGTATGAAGCATTTAGATAGACCCAAGGATAAGCCATGTTTTTTCTCTTAATAGACATGCTTCATATATTCTGCTGTCACGTTTTTTAGTGTAAACAATTATGTATAGAAGATGTAGATCAATTCATAGACATGATGGGAAGATTGTAAAATTTTGTTGGAACATGGATGTAACCTTTTATGATGGTGGCTGGCATTTTCTCAATGCTGAAGGAATCCTACTTACCAGTTGTCAAAGAAAGTTATTTAATTATATTCTTTATTATTCTTCTTGTTAAATTCTGTGTGATCTTTTATCCAGTATCAACTGATTTTGATCCTAGGGTAAAACAAAAACTTTCTTTTAAATAATGAAGAAACAAGACATAAATTTGAATTGACAGGCTAGTGTTTATGGGTGCCTATGGCTTTCAGCAGGCTTCAGGGTCTCTTCATTTTGTGTCTTGTATAGACTTAGGAGTACCTGGATCATTGGTTTAGTTTCAATAGGCAATTCCTTAGTGGAGGCAACCAGGCCATATGGAGAAGTGCAAAACATGGCATGATTAAGAGCCACAAGATTAAATGGCATATTGGTATAAATCCACATCTTTAATTTAAGACCACAAGATTCAATAGTCTTTTTTTACTTTCTTGAACTCCGTGAAACAGTGCCAAGTCAAAATCAGTCAAATAAATTGAAGCAAATGGAGTATTGTATTATTCAATGGATAATGATCATGTATTTTGTATCCCGAGTATCATCTCATTTGTGGTTTTGTTAGCTATTTATGCAAATCATTGTTCCCTAACACATCTTGGCCCTTTTGAGCAGATATTTTGCTCTAAAATATGCTGCTGATGCTGTCTGCACTGTGCTTCGGGTAGACCAGGTAATAATTTTCTCTTGATTTGCTATTCAATTCATGTTTCAATCCTGAGAAGTGCCTAGTTTTCTACCACCTTGTGAAGATGTCATCTCTTGATAGAGATGCATGGAAGGAAGACTAAATCATAGTTAAATTAATAGCTTGTGCAATTCAATTTTTTTTTAAAAAAAATGATAGTTAGATTAAAGTTCAATAGTCGATGATAAAAGAGGGATAAGGAGAGCCTTTTTGAAGCTGATCTATGCTCATATTCGACTACTTTTGCCAATCTATTTTTAATTCAGTTCTGTTTTTAATTTTGAGTAGGCTTTTTACCTCTTTAGTTTTTCTTTTTAAACGTCTATTTCTTGGTGCAGATTATAATGTCAAAACCAGCGGGAGGTCCAGGCAGGAGAGAACAACCTGCAGGGATGGACGAGGATTAATCTTTATTCTCCATCTTTCTCACATTCCTTTCTGCTGATAATGTTTTCTTTTGCATGGTTTGTGGATTCTTCTTTTTCTTGTAATTTTTACTTTTGGAGTATTTTCTTGTTAGATGGCAGAGGTTTGGCTCAAGAATTTTGTTGCTCTTGACAGTATTAAGTCTCTATTGTGTATTTTGATTTGCTTAGGTAAATGCCATGTAATGGTATTAGGCAATAGTTTCGCTGGTCGACGTCGATTATTGGAAAACTAGCTAGTTGGTGTCGTTTTTCTGTAGCAAAGTTCTAATTTATGTGATACTACTCTATTCTGAATCATAAGATCATCTTTCCACAAATTACATAAATGAATTTTAATGTCAGTTTTATGTTTCTTTAATCAAATTGACATGGAGATTATTATTTTTTAAACTGCTAATAATATGATATTCAAATCACCTGACCCCTAATTTATGTATAATCTGTTTTGGAATGTTATTAAATTTGTTGCATATGAGTTTTGCTTGAACTTCTCATTCATGTAAAAAGCATTTGAATTACATAAGTTTGATATTTCTGGTATTTTCGGTATTAAATTTCAAATTTCACTCATTTATTAATTTCTTTTACCATAACCACTAATATATAATAAAATTGGGAAAATGACAGAAATTTCACCTTTAAGTTTTCTTTACTACTACAATTTCCTATTAGTTTTACAAATCATGAAAGACGAAATGAGAACAATTTTGGTTCCCCAGATAATAACGACTTTGTGAAGTTTTTTTTTATCTATTACTCCAAATGGATTAGCTTTTGTGATGCATCAGTTAGTTGAAAATGGTGCACTAATTGACTCTTTAAGACGTGTGCGTTTTAACTAGCTCGAAATTGTGTGGTAATGAACTCAACTTTCCATATTTTGGTAACTAGAAATAAGTGGTAATGGTTAGGCCATCGTGTTGGATCAGAGTTGACGTATTCATGTAGAATAGCTGAAAGAAGACGAACAAACCAGTGACTGAGGCATGTAACAATACCTTTTACAATTAAGCTTTGACCTTCATTTATATAACACTTTATTTCCTCCCTATTTTGGAGGGATAGGGACTAACTTTGGCTTTTTCATGAAGAGAGTTGGTCGACGGATTAGTTGAGTTGCGTATAAACTGATATTCAAGTATGAAGAGAGTTGGGTCGACGGATTAGTTGAGTTGCGTATAAACTGATATTCAAGTTGAACCAAGGTAGTTGATATATAAAAAAAAAGTAATATGCAATGTTTTCGATAAATTCTCGAACATGAGAAAAGCGTTAATCAAAAGCATGTTGAATACATAGAAAAGCAAAAGCTATGGTGAAAATATTATACATCTATACTCTAAAATATAACAAACATAAATGAATGAACAATAAGATTAAAAGAGAATATGATAGGACAAGGATTACGTTAAATTTGACTCTTGTCATAGTAATTCTTATCTGATCATTTTAATTATTCCTAACAAAAACAAGAATTGTTCATGGTATTTGACATTTTAGTCAATAATAAACAAGATTTAATCAAGGAACTAAATTTTCTTTTTTACACTCAATATATGTGACCTAATTACAATTTACATAAGTTGCTATGTAACACAGAAATTGATCTCACAATGTGGATACAAAGAAATGAAAAAAAAATGTACAGTTATGGAGAGTAAACTCCATCTTGGAATCTAGATTTTAGAAACATGGAAAGCCTCTCCCATTGAGAAGTCATTGATCCATAAAACTGCACTTTTGCTGATTTTTTCACTCCTTGCCGAACAAATTCCAATTCTTTGACAACGTCGTATTCGACGCTTTCTGGATAATCTAGCAGAGGCAATGCAGCTGAACTATCGGATTCAACGTTCCTGATCCATCCCCGCAGCAAAAAATTAACAATCTGTACGTTTGTATTTAGAGGCGAAACCAAAATCTAGAGTCAGTGTGTGTGGCATAGCATGATCATCATCTTATATCATGTAATGTTTAAACCTTTTTTGACAGACAAGATCGAATGTCAAAAGCAGATGTATAGCTAAGAAAGACGGGGTACCTCTGGGACTTCATCATGGGGGCAGTGACCAGCTGGACTAATCTGATAATATGGAGCTTCAGGGAATTGACGTTTAACTTGTAAACCCCAAATCGGCGTCACCCAGGGGTCTTCTTTCCCGTAAATGAGACAGACCGGTACATTGTTCATTCGACACCTAGATATAGCAAGGTGAAAGATTTCAGCTTTGTTACTGTATAAGAAAACATATGCAAGCCAAATGACACGGCTATGTAATACTACTTGCTTTACCTACCCAGTCAGTGCCTCTTTAAAATTTAGTTGTCCCTGAGGAGCGAACATTATTGAAGCAAGGGATGCAGCTGCTGCAGGGTGTTCTGTTACCTCAAGAATACTAGAGAAAACTTTATCTACTTTTGTGGTATGATCAGCGTAAACTTGTTTAAGCACCTCTGCGATACTCTCGGGAGCACTAATTTTCTGCCATCTACAGAAGCATAATGAAGCGTACAGACGGATAAGTTTGAGAACCAGACAAAACCCAAAAACAAGGATACAATCCATAATGTCCCTCTATTATATGATGAAAGAACATCAAATTATCCAAGAACGATTCATTTTTTCAGCATAAGTTGCAAAATGTAACAACACATCATTTGGTCATCGTCTTGATGCTAACCAATATAAAATGTATAGCTGGCAAGAAGATCCTATTACTCGGTATATAAGTTTATAGGATCAGGAAACTAAATAATCAAAACAGAAAGTCAGGGCACTTACACAAGTTCTGTGAGCTTTCTGATATTGGAGGGCAGAGGAAAAGTACCAGCCCATGGAAATAATCTAGATAATCTCGGAGATCTAACAGGATTAGGAAGAAATCCCCAAAAAGGCGTAGCATTCAGCAAGGTTACACCTTTCACTAATTGAGGGTAGTATGCAGCAAAGTAGAGGGCAACATATCCACCAAGTGAATTTCCCACAATGTAGACTGGTTCCTTAATAACCTGCATCACCAAAGGATACAAGTTTATAGTTTGTTCCTAGTAACCAATCAACAATTTGGAAACTTATTGAGAAGCCCATCGTTCCATAGCCTAAATCGAACAAAAATAAACAAGTAGTGCCAAAGGAACATTATTCTGGCATACTATAGCAAATTGTCAGGACTGCAACTGTAATGTACTCATAAGCCTTGTATGAATATTTTTAGTTTCATCTTCTAGCATTCATTACGAGCCAGTGTATTGAACGAACATGAATTTAAAAAACTAGCAATACATCAATGACAATGCTTAATCTACAGATCAACCAATTTTGAGGGAAAAAACACAAGGACAAAGATAGAAATTGTACCTCTTCGATGAAATAGCGTACTTGCTCCCTCCATAAGTCAATAGAATAGACAAGTTCTTTTGCCCAAGGTTCTACTTCATCCCCCAAACCCCAGAGAACATTGTTTCCATCACCTTCCGATTCATTTAATCTTTTTGACCGCGAAGTTGGATCCTCACTAGGTAATGACTTTCCCTGTCCAATAAAATCCAATGCCCATATTCTGTTATCACGACCAAGATCCTTTAGCTGTTTTTCATAGTGAAAGGAACCAACACCAAAACCAGGAAGAAAAAGTATTGGCGCGGAGTTAACATTTTGACATCCAGATTTCTCATAATGAACATTCAGTTTTGGCTTCCATTCCCACAAACAGCTATCAATCACAGCAACAGCATCGCCTTTAGCTTCACTTGGTAAACTAGGAATCATAACCTTTGGTACTGATTTACCTCTACTAGTCACACCTTCTGTACCGACTTTCCCATCCACGACATCTGTGTTATAGCTTTCATTCAAGAGACTTGAGTCAACAACACTGTCAACCCCCTTAACAGAAGCGACAGTGCAAGATCTCCGCTTCCTATTTTTCTCTACGCTATAAACATCTAAACCAGAACACAATCTTCTTTCTTTTAGTCTAGAAAACATTGTCTGATTTGAAATTAGGCATTTTTGAATCACATTCGGTTTAACATTTACAACGCAGTAATAGGGTGTCGAATAGAAAGAACAAAATTCCATCCCAGAGTCAGCTTTCTAAAATCTAAAATGAATACCTGAAATCAAGAATACATTGAAAACAAAGCATTTAGGTTGTTATCAAATACTAATAAAATACAGGAAAGTAATGCAATCAACTCAACAACAATATAGTAATTTACTTCTTCACATCTAATTATTATTACTTGGCTAATAAGATAAATCAACTAACATCATATTCTTCTACAACAACAAAAAAATTCAACCTTCATTTTTTTTCATGATGTGAACACATTTATTGAACCCAATAACTCTGGTTCAAACTCAATTTTTTTTTTTCATTACAAAAATCCATTTAATATGTACAGTTATTAATTTAGAATTCAGTAACTCAAAAGATCTAAATCCCAAACTACAAACTTCAAATCCTGAATCTGTCAATAGATCAACCTTATCTGGAAAACGAAAAAATTGAGCAAATATTGAACCTTACTTGAAAATTCTACAACTTAAACATCCAATAAAAGCTAAAAATCAATAACCTAAAAGACCATTATTTCACAATTCCATAACAAACTAGAAAGAAAAAATTGAAAGCCAACTAACCTTTAATCAGTTTTCTAAGATAATTATGAGCAAAATCTCCAAGAGCTTAGGAGAAGTGATATGGGATTTTAGAATTGCTTTTTCTTATTCTTTTTAACATTCAGTTAGTTATATATTTCTACATAAATCTAGAGTCCAGACAAGAGATTGCTTAAAAAAGTGGGATCTATTTAGAAACCAAGAAAAAATAAAACAAATGACGATATTTAACAAAATGGTAGATTTGGGCTGGTCATGCGATATAGTATCATGATATGAAATTATGAGATGCAATTAAAGTTTTGTTTAGATATTCGAGATGAAATTTTGATATTGTATATTCTTACGTAATCGTAAAAATCTCATAAGTTTTCTAAAACTATTAAAATTGCTTCAATTGTTTATTCAATCTTATCAAATTAAATAAAAAATTATAAAATTGCATAATAAATTATTATAAAATTATTTGTTCTCCACTTAAGTAATGTTTCAATCTAAAAATGAAGCACTTTTCACGGGTTCTTCAAGATTTTATTACTCAATGATCGTGAAGTGTGACCTAAAGTGACTATATGTTGGTGTGAACAATAAATTTTAAAATGTAATGATGTAACTATAATTTTATTTACATGTAAAATAAATAGTTAGTAGATATAAATGTAGCATTGTTTTAACAAAATATAAACGTGTGGATTAATTTTTGTATTAAATATCTCAAATTATGATA